TTAAAAAAAATACTTCTTTGATTGTATAGTACACGGAGCAGCACTTTGACATAGTTTGACTTGAGTTTGACCAAACTTGAGAAAGGTAGATGCTAGTACCATCCTTGAGGCGCGGATTTGGCACCTATAAATTACAAGTTTCATTACACCCAACTACTTTTAATTTTACAAGCTTCTACTCTCTACCTTTCACAAATAAACTCTACTGTCAAAACCCTTTTTCGAGCATTCACTGCTCGTTTTGATATGAATGTGGAGCTTGTAGAAGAAGAAGACACACGATTTGAAGGTGTACTTGCACAAAACATACACACATAGTGTCCACAATCATCGACTTGATAAAAGATGTGCATACACAAAGTACTGACCAAGACAATTGTGAAGGGGAGGACAAAGCAGTCAAGCAGGACACAAACATAATCTTGCGCGAACCACATAAAATTGCAGTATTGAAAGACTGTTTAGTCATGCTTTGCTGGGTAAACTCGAGAGAGGCATTATAAACATTTTAGCCACTAAGGTTAACATATATCTACACGAGCAGTGCATACATTATGGTTAAAAGCAAATCAACAAATGCTAATCGGAGAGACCTTAATGTCTTAAGCACGTGGAAAGAGAATGTGGGGTGAAAAAGATACTTTTTACTTGCAAAAAAAATCACAAATTTCATTACAGCAGAGGGAAAATCAAAGAGCACTTGAGTATTAGTACAAGTTTCAAAATCAAATGTGCAAAGGAGGTTTAGGTGTAAGAAGATAAAAAAGCATTCAAATGCAATCAAGTCACTCATAATAGAATCGGGCAAACCTAGGAGGTTTTTTTTAATGAAATGTAGTATATTAAAAAATCATCCAAAAATAACATCATGTGACACATAAAAAAATGAAGAAAAATTATCAATGCTAGCTAGTCTAATATAAACTATCTAAGAGGCTATAATTCTGTTCACATTTATCAAAAGTGGTTTTATTTATCAAAAGTGTGATGCAAATTACAAAACCATACTAAAATCACATTTAATATAAACAATATATTGTAAACGTTATATTGTAAACGCCAACCTAGATTCTTTTACAAGATGGGGGGCTCCCAAGAAGAGAACCCAAATCAAGCAAATACGTAGGTCACCAACTACCACGCATCACCCTAAGTGTCCCGTACAAGTTACATAAGCCACCGAAGCAACCTATTGACCACTTGATAACTTGGACCCCACCAAAGCACCAATTGGAAATTGAACGTCTACCTTAAGTGTGCACACCCCCTAAAGGGGTTCCAATCCTTCCGAGTAGTAAGAAGTTCAAATAGGCGGGATAAGTTTCAACCGACGGTCCAAAGATAGACAAATCCTATAACTACCACCAGCTGAAGCAAAGAATGATTGCATCCAAGATATCCAAAAGCAAATCAAGAGAAACCGACTGCCAGATAGTAGTAGTCCTACCCTAGATCGTGAACCAAAATCATACATTTATCCAGATGTAGAAACTAACACCACAAATTACTCTTGGGTGCTCAAAATATTCAGAAATCGTTTATTATAATTTGCCAAAAGATTTGATATATTCACAACACTTTTCAAAAAAGGATTTGACTCAAATCACCACTTCCAAAATATTTGATTTTAGTAATGAGTTGCTTTTTGATGACTTGCCATGGGGAGACCATGGTGACAAGGTTGATGACCAAGGTGACAGTGGTGAAAGAGGTAATATGTCATTCGGGGAAGAAGAGGAAGAAGGTCTGATCATTGAAGTCTTGAAAGACTTGAGATGGTCTTTTTTTCCTCATTTGTTGATATTTTTTCGTCTGACTCTACATGAAAAGGGGTTGTCTGTCTGACAGACAAATTTGAAGTGCAACGTTTGTCTAGCTGAACATGGTTTCATAGTTGGTAGAGTCTTACATAAGATGTCTGTCTGGACAGACAAAAGATTATTTGTTTGAGTACATAGAACAACTGTTTGTATGCACATCTTCTTATTTTACAAATGTATTTTATAATACGTTTGATGACTTGAGCAAATCTTCTTTTAATGATTTTGTTTTCTTGATTTTTTGATGTGTTTTCAAAATGAAAAGGATTCTTTCTGACAGACCACTTGTAATTGCAGTATTTGTATACTCCGGATTTGTAATTGGTATTTAATTGCATGTCATTTGCTTTTTATTTGTCTGTTTTTTGTTTTGAGCTGTCTATAATGACTTGTCTGTCATATTGTCTGTGTCAAGTGTTCTAAATGTATGTTTGTGCTTTATTTTTCGTATTAACGCAATGTGTGAATGATGAGGGATTAGATTGAAACATTAGTTTCTTGTGAATTACCATTGTTGGCATTAAGTATACACATGCAGACAATAAGTATACACATACATACATTGCTTTATTGTGAATTACCATTTTGGCATATGTTTCATAAAAAAACAAGCAATACATATATCTAGACAGACAATAGAGATAAGCAGACAGACATTATCTTTATAGACTTATAAACTTTAACCAATCTACTTCCAAAGTCAACTTTGAAGACAACTAATTACATCTCAAAAACTACACACCACAAATTACATACAACTCACAATCAAATGACAAATAACTAAATATGAGTTACAGACATGTATTTTTAAAACGTCAGAAAACTTCACAACTCTTACGGGCTCTTCACAACAACATGGCAACAAGTCATTATAGACAACTCAAAACAAATACAGACACCTAACAAGCAAATGACGAACAATTAAATATCAGTCACAGACATTTATTTTTCAAATGACAGACAACTTCACGAGTCTTACTTACAAATACATGCACTGCACTTACAAGTTGTCTGCCAGACAGACAACCCTTTTTATTTTGAAAACACACCAAAATGTCAAGAAAACAAAATCAAGAAAACAAAATCAAAAAAAGAAGATATGTTCAAGTCATTTAAAGGTACTTGGTATGCACCTTCGTCGTTGTCTTCCCTTGAGGTTGCATCCAAAACGGCAACCGGCGTAGGCCCGTCGTCAGCAACATTACCGAGCTCTTCCCATGTCAAGCTATCCAATGTCACCGAGCTCTTCCCGTTCGTCTGATTACTGTAGCTCATGTATTTGAAACGAAAAAAAAAAGATGGAAGAGAAGAGAAGCAGGAGAAGAAGGTTGGAGGAAAAGATTGTAAAAATGAGAAGCCTTAAAGGAGAGAGATCTTGAAATGGAGAAGAAATCAAGATTTGGGGAGAAAAGAGAAAGAAAAGGGAGGGGATGGGGGGCTGCATGAAGAAAAAGATAGGAGAGAGGGAGGAGGGAGGAGAGAAGAAAAGTGGGGAGGGTTTTTATATGGGGTAGAATGAGGTATACATTTGAGGTACCTGTACCAAAAGTGTTGCAAAAAAAGAGAATGGAGCATACTGATGGTATAGTAAATATAGGTATATGGAGTATAAATGTAGTGTAATGATTAAATGAAATGATGGTAGAGTTTTCATTTGATAAATAAAAAATACAGCCAAAAAAACATGAACCATAATGTTAGATTTCTGAAAAATGAAAGTGTAAATTTAATTAAGAATAAAAAGGGTTCGTATGTATTGATGAGTTCAAATAAAAAGTAGTTTCAATGAAAAATAAGAAAAGATAATGATCTTTAATCACTTAAAAATAGATGCATTATATAAACTTCAATCAAAAGGCAGGGTAACAAATTTGTTAATATGTACTCGTAGAACACTAGAACTTTAATATGTAAAGATAAAAGTATATTCATGAGATAATCATATTTTTGCGAGAAGATAAAAGGGCATTCATAAGATCATCATATTTTAAAACAATTATTATGCACATTCAATTTCATATTCCAAAAAGTTTTTGTGATATACTCCCTCCGTCTCGAAATTATCTTCATACTTGGTCCCTTGATCCAAAAGGTTGAATGTCCAACCCCAAGCCCCTCACCCCGACCCGACAGGATGGTGGGGAGGTTAATCACGGTTACTCAGTCAGTAAAGCGACGGTAGGCTTTATACACGTGCGCACCAGAGGTCCAGCCTTATTTCAGGTTTTGTAACCTCCACACGGCCACAGCAGGTTTCGAACCTTTTTGAATCTTCATACTTTTCTTTTCGGTCTGTCTCAAATTTATCTCATCTTTCCCTTTTTAGCAAAGAATTTATGATTCACAACCATTCTTACACATTTCTCTTTCCTCTGCACATCTCTCCACTACACATTTTCCACTATCTTAATATGTGTTTAATATGTGTGTCAATTGTACTTGTGAAGATAAATATGGAACGAGGGAGTACATAAACACTTCTTGTATTGTCAAATGTCAAATATATGCATTCATTAGAGAACTTTTATGCTATTCCACAAAAATATGCAACAGTTTGACTTTCACATTTGACAACGCGCAATTTTGTTACATTAATACAAAATTTATTGTTAATAAATTTTGTTACATTTTGTAACTATATTTATTTACGTATTAATAAACATTAAAAAAAAATATATTCAAAATTTACATTAATACAAATTTATTATTATTTTATACATAATGTTTTTATTATATATATTATTAAAAATCTTAATCAAAATAAAATGTGTGAATAGTTCAGAAATTCCAAGATAATTTTTCTTGTTAATGGCCAAGATGATTTTTTCACCTAACATGCAGTTTTGATTTGAACCAAATTACACGTAGTATTACATAGATATATATTAGTGAACCAGATTCACCAGACATCCAGAATAACCAACACCAGCCCAATTGAGGTGCAGTCCCAGGTTTTGGTAACCCTCTCCCCAAAGTCCCAAACCATAGAACGGCCTGACTCCTGAGTAAACAAGCCCATTCCAAAAGACCAAACAGAGGCATAAAAACCCCGAGGTAAATTGCAGGTGCAAAGTGTAGTGAAGTGCTGCTCCAAGTATAGGCACAAAATTTCATTGAAGACTTCACACCGTCCACCCACTTCTGTGGTGCGCTAAACATTAAAACATGTATCAACTAAGATTAAGCTTAAAATTGAAGCACCATTTTATAGAACAAGAATGAAGCACCATTTTATAGAACAAGAGAACATTAAACTTAAAATTGTTCAATAGAAACAAATCAGTACGGATCAACTAAGATTAAGCTTTCATCTAATTGCAATGTATTTGGGATGAAAAGCAACAAAGACAAAATACAAGCTCATTCAATTTAAAAACCACCAAGAATCATTCTAACTCTCAGTCTGCTCCCGGAGCCTTCTGATGGTGCTTCTAACAGTGACAGCACTAGCCGTGCTGCAAAAAAACAATAAGGCCCACCACACATTACGACTTCATCAACTATAATATGGAGTAACAAAAACCTCTTAGTTAAGAATATATTGTTTCATGAAATTTGTGACCATTGTTCTAAAACATACTTGGCGGCGACTTGGTAGATTAGTCCTCTACAGTTAGGGACACCTAGCGCCTAGGTGCTAATTAATAGGGCCAACTGGGTTGATTTTTAGAAAGAGAATTAGACTTTGCACCCCCCATTTTGGAGTTATATTTGACTTTGCACCGTGTTTTCAAAATAATTTATATATGCACCCCAATTCACTATAAAATTATTTCACTTTGCACTTCACTCCTTAACTACTTTTGGGCTGATAAGGTGAACACATTAATGCTTTTGAAAATTGGGTGCGAAGTCCAATATCATCCAAAACATGAGGGGCAAAGTAAAATTCTACCTTTTTAGAACAATGTTTGTGACCAAGAAGGTGTATGATTATAAGGAACTGTTTACTTAAGCTTAATTTTGATCTAGCCTAGACTGGTCTGTGCAAGTCCATTCTGATTATAAGGAACTATTACGTACGGAGTTAGTTTTAACTATTACTACCTCCGTCTGACATAGAATTTTCCTTTTTAATAGAAATTTAAAGCTCAATCAGTAAAGAACTTTACTTCAATGTGTAAGCACCGCCAGCTTTGACTTTCCCACAGTCCTTGCAACCCCAAATACCAACTGCCTTTCTCTTCACAGCGTACTGTAAATGATGAAATTTAATGAACCAAGTTGCTCATTGATATTTCAAGAACACAAGAGTCTACTATACAGAGGAGAAAAAAGGAACTAACCTTGCCACAGAATTCACAGAAGAACTTGCTGTGCTGACTTACTTCCATTTTCTTGATTTGTTTTCTCAAACTTGCACCGTAACGGGTACCTAATATTTAGCATAGATGACTATGGATAAGAAAAAGGCACCAGACAAAGGCAGTATAACTATCACTGTCTAAAAGTCAAAGCACATTCATAAACCAACTTATCAAATGCATTAAGAAAATTTTAGAATTTAAGTGATTTAAGCATAACACATATAATAGTCCTGAATCAGGCCACAAAATGAATTAGTGCTGCAATATAAAACTGCCTTCTTATAAAATAGTTTTGAAAACAAGTTTACAAAGACAGATAGGAGCAACTCTAGAAGCCACATACCATACTTTCCGACAATACCAGCCTTCTTGGTTCTCTTCGTCTAAAAAGACAAAAATATTCATGTTAGAAGGAAAAAAATGTAACATAATATGTTAATACGATATCAATATTATGCTAATGGGCTAAACAAAACCAGTGATTGCAGAATACTAAGTTCTTTAATCTCGGTAAAAACTAAAGTAGAAGATTATATTTAACTAAATATTGAAATACATGTCTGAAAATAAAACTAAATAAATTACTCAAATGAAAATTCAAGAACAAACATTTAGATGCAAAATACTTGTAACAGGTAACCATAGATGAACGACTGCATGCTGCAGCATGTTTACTTCCTTTTATAAGAGAAGCGGCATCGAACACTAAACACATTCACTAATGTTTAAAAACATATGAATCTAGGCTCGAATGTTTAACGCTAAATCGCTCAACCGTACATCTCTTTCAGCTACTGAAAGATGTGCGTTCAGTGATTACCAGTTCTGATTTACTATAGTTCTCAGTAACGCAAATCCTTTGGATGAATCACATTCATAACCAGGTGAACTGTACAGACATACTAAACTGCCCATATGCAACTTTTTCTACCCAAAATTATTTATTTATCATACAAAATCAAAGTCTGGAAATAATAATAAAAACATAAATACCATCTTCGGTGAATAGACTGGTACGCTCTGAGGGTTGATGAAGAAGCTGAGGCAGCTGCGATGAATGGGAAACCCTAGCCTTTGCTAAATTAGCGCTTTTGACTAATATATAGTCCGAAATTGGATCCTCTGTCAATTTGGGCTTGTCGGGTGACGGCCCGGATGTTATTTGTTTTTTATTTACTTCGTATATCTTGTTTGAGGGTTAAATTAAGGAGGAAAATTGTGACCGGTTCAAAGATACTCGCACTGAATTGTACCGATCAAAACAGACAAAACCGTATTGACAAAGTAATAGGATGGTGGATACCTTTTTTTACGGGTAATCGAGCGGTTAGAGTTTTATACGTAATCGCCCCATTACTTGTCTCGTACCCGCCTCATTCATTTTTAGTTATATTTTTATTACAATTCCATTTATTATTTGTCCTACAACTACTAAAGGATTATATTTTTCTCTTTTCATTGTGTATATACGGATAATGATGTACTAATTATAGTGTATGAAAGAAAGTTCATAATAGATTTTTATAGTCTTGTTTGATTATTATTAGATTATTTTCGCGATAATTTAAATCCCTCAAATTTTAATAGGGTGTGCGATAAATAACTCAAACTTGCATATGTAATATAAAGACTCGAACTTTATATAAAAAGTTATTTTTGCACTATGATTGTATCTTTTTTACAAAAACAAATTTACTGGAACAATAATTACATAATTTAAAATATTGTAAGCCATGTTAGAATACAATTAACATTCTATAGTTTCATTTCTGAAATGCATAATGTTATGTTCGGTGCAATTTAATTTTAATTGCATCCTCATAAATGTTTTGTGTATTTTAAATTATGTACCTAAACCATAAAATTATATCTGTGATAAAAATATGATCGTGATGCTAAGATACCATTTTATATAAAGTTGGGATATGTGTGTGTGTGTGTGTGCAAATTGGGGTCTTTATCTCACACTACTTCAAAGTTTGGGATAATTAAATTATTTTCCCCTATACAATAAGCATCCCACATACCCATGTTTTATTAAACTTGGGGTAACATTGTATCACTACTACATTTTCGGGTCTTTTGTAACAGCAGAACTCATTATATTTGGTCCAAAAAACTGTTACATTCGACTTATTATAATAGTTTCTCGTTGTTACATTCGCTCGCGTTGCACTTTCTCTAATGTAACGGCTTGTAACAAAATTTATGACCAACTGTAATGGTCCTCACGAGATGCCATAAATGTTACAACAGACCGAGTACAAATGTAACAGTATGTAACATGCATAGGGGTAACGGTTTTGAAAATATGTTGGCCCTGTTTAATTATGTAATGTAACGGTTTTCAAAATACATTGGCCCTAGTGAATTATGTAATGTAACAGTTTATATATTTGCACACATGCAGTCAGGATGTTTTTACACACCTATAGCAATGAATGTAACCAGCCGCCCATTTAATTATAAATACTTACAAAAGTGAAACATATGTTGGCCCCAACATCAAATCCATTACATTACAAACCAAGCAACTTAAGTTGTACAAAAGCATTCAAAAGCATGCAAAGTAGCTATGTTAAAAGCTCTTTGACAGAGACATGAGTTTGATAAGTAGCAAATTGTTGAACATCATGTTCACAAAGCAAAAGATTGTTTATCACTACTACTATGAAAAGCTCAAGTGACAAATCATGGGTATGCATTATTCATCATTTGATTCCATTCCATCTTCATCTTCATGTGAAACCATCACCTCTAAACAAACATTTCAAATAATTAAGCACCCTTGTTATATATTTATATATAATCAGTTCATTTGTTTTTTAGAATAAGACTCATCTAAATATTGTTTTGAAAAATAAATCAATATTATACTCCAATTATTTATATTTGAGCAACTCAGTATGAAAACTCATATTCACATCTAAGCTACAAAGTATGATGCTAATAAGCCTAGCAATGAGACGAAACCAGGAGAATCAAATCTGACCATAAATTGAGTGTATTCGGCATTAGCAACCCATTAAAAAGGTTGGAGATTTAGCATGCCACATGTCTTTCATTATTTCAATCTATTCCATCCTCCTCGATTTCATGTCTATCTTTTTCTATAAAACAAAGAGTCCAAATTATTAGCACATATAATTAGCTAAAAGGAAAATCAAATAATGGTTAAATTTTAGAAACTCACTTTGATAGGCAATCATATCCACGCCAATTGTACTCTTGGGTTATATTATTATTTTTTGGACAATTGCTAACAACCAAATGTGAAGTCAGAAATTACATGATCAAAGGATGTGCCCCAGTATAAGAAAGGACTCAGCAACACACGGCTTCACCTGATAAAATACTACGATCCTTCACTACATCGAAATTCAAAATCTAAACAAACTAATAACCACTAGCCACATACAAATGCAGCCATATAAGTTCAACTCTGCAATACACTGACACACTTAGACAATACATGACTTACCCACAATAACACATCATAAGCAAACTAAACATTAACCCCATGTACAAATATAGTCGTATAAGTTCAGAATACTTCAGTAACATGTTGTCTCATCAAATACCTAATCAGTTGTTTTAAGTCACAGCACTAATCCTGATTGTAAGTTCATAAAGTAATCATCTCTGAGGGATATAGTCTGTATAATCTTTTATACACGCTCAACTTAATTTGTGTAATACCTTCATAAACATTGTTTCTATTACCTCCAAACAGTCCAAAGTTCCTTCTTTTTCAAATAGTGTAGACAGTGCAAGACAATAGTAAACTCACTATTTTTCTCCCTAATCTTGCTCCCCTGAAATTCTTTTTAAATCATTGTATATCTGCATATAGTTTAGTGAAGAGACCATGCTCATAAATGGTACTTAATTGGAATATACTAAAAGTATTTATGAAAAAAATCAAGTATTCAATTAATGATATTCCTTGGAGAACGATTCCTGATAGAGCAACTTAATTAAATTTCATTGTGGGTAGCGACTTACTTGTGGCAAAATTCTTAGAATGTCATAGATCTGGTGCCACAACGACTTACTTTTGAGCAAGGACTACAATAACCAAGACTCCTGCACAACCTATAAAAAGTACAAGGCCCAAAGCAAGCTACCGTTTACTTTAATTATTATGAGTAACAAATTGAACTTTGTTGAGTTCACAACTAAGTAATAGAGTTGGGGTTTTAAGAAAAGTGCAACTCTTTAATGAAATCATTTTTATTCATATTTAAGAGAAATATATCCATGCTCATTCATTTTTATTCATATTTAAGAGAAATATATCACTGCTCATTCATCTTATTTTGGAAGTGTAATAAAGGTACCAATTCAAATATGCACCAGGATTTTAAAGGTAAATAAAATTTATTCATATACTCACATAACATACCAGTGGTCTATAATATAAATTTCTCATTGCTTGCATAGTCAAATAAAAGATTTACATTAACTTTGCAAAGTCCGTGTAGAAACTAATACACTAGTTACGTAAATATATTAACAATTAACCCTCATCATCATAGATTGCAATTGAATTAAATGTAAGATTCTGTTAGTATATATGTCCTAGCGACAATCATTTTTTTTGGAGACATATGTACTTGATCACATTTAGTTTTTATATTTGATATATACATGGTATTACACTTTATGAATGATTGTTTTCGATTGTCAATATTTTTTTCATAATTGTGTTCCCTTGGATTTATGTTGTCAATAAGTAAGTGACAGTTTATATAATATAACATAAGGTCCAAAAATAGTCCCAATCAATGATCATCAAGAAAGGGATATCGATGATATGTGATAAGATTGGTGTGTGGACTGCATCATACTTTTAGAAAGTATAGTTGATCTCACAACTATGAGTTCATGTAATTCATGATGGTCACATAGATATTTTAGAGAATATTGGCATACCCACCGAAAAACCATTTGATAAGTTCTATGTGTCTATGGGATTATCGGCGTATAGAGTAGTGTAATAGTCCTCCGACTTGAGCTCAATACATACTACATGTGCGGAGTGATATACTTTGACCATGACCAACGCTTGCACTCCAATCGGGGTAGATATGGCATGCGTTGGGTGCATCACGAAGCACATGGAGTAGTAGTTGAGCCAAGAAAGGATTCATTCCTCATAATAAATTAAGAGAGAACATTCTACTTCTCATATCTAGATGGAGCATAAAGTCATTGGCCAATGCAAAGATATATTCATTTTGGATATCGAATATGATCGTTATAAATCATCTAGAAAGATTGAGAGACAAAGACTAAGTTATTGGAATAGACACAATATCATATTCTAGACTTAGTTGAATGTTCGTTGAATGAAAGGACCGTATCACTATGAGCTCTATATTACAGAGAGTTTGAATAGTCATCGCAAACGTCCTTATATATTAAGTTTGTCTGGTAAATCGTCTAGGGATTCTACTAAGATCTTAATTTGATTAGTGCTTAATATATAAGGCTCTATGGGTCACACAACAAGTGATTATATCTTCCGATTGAATTGTTAGAAGGAATTCAATATTATTAACTGGATTAAATAATATTTAATTAGTAATACTGAAAATGGATTAAATATTAATTAGATTAAACATATTTAATTCATGAAGTTGAAGGAGAGTTCTATTTGATAGAATTAAGTAAGTAAGATACATTAGACTTATTATACTTAATTGAGATGTATTTTTAATTAAATAAAATTGGTACTTTTCTTTATAATTTAAAATTAAAAAGAAAAGAAAACTAAAGTAAATAATAATAAAGATGCAAAGTGGCGTGCATCCAACTTTCATCTTATTATTAATTTGTTTAGTTTATTTATTTATTTAATTAGTTAAGTAAAATAGTTATTGGGCCTAGTTGCACTAGGACTCATTAATTATTAAGATTTTCATTGTGATTGGGAAACTAGTTTAGAACTAGTATAAATACATCCCTCTCCTTCATAAATGATAGACCAGTTTTCAGATTTAGTATTACCAGTTTATTTCCCTGCGAAAAGATTTCCTAGCCTTTCTCTTAAGGAGATCTAACTGTTCTTTCGGAAAGGAGAAATCACGTGAATACCCAAGGTCAAGGATTATCACCGCTAGGCTGGAAGATCTGTAAGTTCTAACTCAGA